ATTACCACGTGGTGCAAAAAAAAATGATCTTTTAAAAGCAATAAATGATAAAAGGAATACCTTTAGATACAAAATAGGTTACACATACATTAATGCTCTGAAAAAATGTAATCAAGATCATGAAGATGTATGCACAAGTGAAATATTAAAATCGATAAATTCCGAAATAGATTGTCAATCATTAACTACAAACAGATTATACAATTTGTTACTCAGAGATGATTATTTTAACAAATTGATTAAATTTAATATCGATGAAATAAATGAAATACATGTAATTTTAGAAAAACGAAAAAACGAATTAAAGGATCATTGCAAAGTAGAATTCTTGATAGATGAATTCTCAACAAATGATAGATTTGAAAATTTCATTAATAATGGTGTCTACGAACCTTTTTTTTTGGAATTCTAATTCGTATTCATTTTCGGATGATGAGAAAAAAATCATTAGTAAAAATTGGTTTAAAAAAATAAATGAATTGGTAAAATTAGAAAAAAAAACAGATATGAATTTATACATCAACGAATTATTATCCATATCGGAATCATTGAAAAATGATCAATTACATACCCCGGAAAATTCTAACATATTCTCTAAAAGGTTAAAAGAAAAAAGAGAAATACATAAAAAATACATCGAAGATAATGGTCCTATCAAATCTTTAATCCAATCAGTAAACATACCAGATTACTATAAAAAAATTCTTGAAAATCGAAGATTGGAAATATTACATGGTAAAATTCCTGAACCTGAAAAACCACAAAAACCTAAACCTAAAGATCCTGAAGAAATATTATTTGATAAATTTGAAAAAGAAATAAAAAATATCAATAAAAATAATGCAGAAAATCTATTAGATAACAATAATCTAGATTTTTCAATAAATGATGCAAACTTATCACAGGATAAAATCGAAAAATTACAAAAATTAAGAAAAGATAAATTAGCTAAATTCATATATGATAAAATTGATGAATTTGAAAATAGAATAAAATCATCAAAAACTCTAAAAGAAATAGATGATTTAACAGATAAATTACTTAACGACAAAATACTATCAGCTAAACAAAAAGAAGATATCACAACATTAATCCAAAACAAACTATCTGAAATAAATCAACAACCTACAACACTACCGAATACTTCAAATATCTTTGATGAATTGAAAAAAGAAATAGAAGATATAGATAAAAATAACGCAGATAAATTATTAGATGGTGGAAACCTAAATAAAAAAATAATTAATGCAAATATATCAGATGATAATGTTGATGAATTAGAAGATTTGAGAAAGAAAAAATTATTTCATTTCAGAAATAACGAATATAATGAATTCAATGATAAAATAGATGTTCTCAAAAGTGAAAATGAATTAGATGATATGAACAATGCAGTAACAAATAATAAAATATTATCAGATACACAAATAAAAGAATTACAAGACAAAATACTCCAAATTAAAGAAAATCTTTTCCCAGTTACACCACCCGTAAATGAAGATCTTATATTCAATGAAATAAAAGATTTAATCTTTGATGTTGATACAGATGTAATATCTGAAGTTAAAACTCTATTGGATAATGGAATAATTGATCAAAAAATCAAAAATTCTGGAATATCATATAGTAAAATCAATGAACTACAGAAATTAAGAAAAGATAAAGTTGATCGATCCAAAAAAGAATTTTTCGATAATTTAAACAAAGATATAGATAGAGGTTATAAAAAAGAAGAATTGGATAATATAAACATTAATAATGAAATATTACCAGATACGGATAAACAACAAATAATAGAAAGAATAAGTAAAATAAAAGAAAAATTAAACGAATATGAAACAGAAATGAAAAATTCAAAAACAGTAGATGAAGTAGATGTCATATTTGGTAAAGCAACTACAGATGATATATTAACAACTGGATTGAAACATGGATTCATCAAAATACAAGAAGATAAGAAAACTGAAATTTTACAAAAAGAAAATAACGAAAAATATGATATCATCAAAAATGATATTGATAAATTCTTGACTCCTGAAACTTTAGATAAATATGTTAATGATGAGATAAATTCTCTAGATGATAAATATTTAACAGATAACAGAAGTAAAAGATCATTAAATGAAATTCAAACCAAAAAACGAGAATCCTTAATCGAAAATTTCAAAAAAGAAGAAAATGAAAATTACAATTCTCTGATAGATGATATAAAAAATTGTAAAGATTCAAATTTATTGACAGATGAATATTATAATGATATCTATCGTAATATCGAAGACCTAGACGAAAAATATCTTGATTCTGCAAACACAAAATCGAAATTACATAATCTCAGAAAAGAAAGAAAGAAAACCCTAGAAAATGAAATCATATAAAATCACTTTATCTTGTAAATTTTTTATTATTATAATCTATAATTAATTAAACATGAATAGTAAAAACGATTGGATAAAATTTTTTAATGATAATAACATTGAAAAAAAAGATTATGATAAATGGAAATTTTCTGGATTATCTATTCCAGAATGTAAAATCGCAATAGATAATGGATGGACTGATCATAAAATATTAAACAATCATATTAAATATCGAAATTTCAGGAAAATAAACGTCTTGGAAATTAAAAGATCTGAACTAGATGTCTTATTAGATTTACTTGAAGATATCTTGGATAAAAACAAAAATACCTTTAAATCTTTACCCGCAAATTATAAAGAGATAAACATAAATAACCTAGATAATAAAATATTACCACGTGGTGCAAAAAAAAATGATCTTTTAAAAGCAATAAATGATAAAAGGAATACCTTTAGATACAAAATAGATGAACCTAATAATGAATTTGATAATGATGGTTTAGATCCAAACGAATATCAAAAAATAATAAAATCTATAAACGAAACTAAAGAAATAGTATTTAACAAATGGAAAAACAAAGTAACCACTGAATTTCTCAATAAATTCTTGGATGGATTCTTAAAGAGAAAAGGTGATGAAAATCTTGTAGAAAAAGATCTCAGTGGATGGTTGAATGGTAATGAAATACTACCTGGAACAGATCAATTACTGGGTTATACATTGAAAGATGAACTAATAAAAATAATAAAAGTGGCTGAAATAATAAACGGTAAATTCACAGGAGATATTAATCAAGAAATTTTAAAAAATGGAATATCCGGTGCTGATGTTTTAAAAGAAGAAGAGAAACTCAGTAAAATATTAGCAGGAGCATATCTACTTCCGTATGTTTTTAACTTGATAGGTTTCGATCCAGATAAATTAATAAATGAAAATTATGATCCTATAATTACTGATCCTAAAGATCCTAATAACAGCATTTATAATATTGCAAATTTTGCCAAAACAAAAAAAGAAACAAAAACCAAAAAAATAAAAATCAAAGATCCAAAAACAAGTAAAATAAAAGAAGTAACAAAAACAACAGAAACAACAATAGTCGATGTTGATGGTCCTGGAGTCTTGCCTGTATTAACCGGTGGTGGTAAAACAACTAAATTAGCAAGATGTCTATTAACATGCATTTTTCCTGGAAAACATATAATATTGATCACACCTAATAATAAATTAGCCGCTGATGCTGAAAATCATCATACAACTTGGTTACAATATACCGGTGGTGTCCCATATAAATGCGTAATTCATGGAAAAGAAGGTAAATTACCTTACGGTGTTAAAAAAGATACTCTTGCTTCATGGATCGATGGCAATAACAATGACGAAAAAAAATCAATCAATAAAGATGGTGAATCAACATTATCGATATTACAACTACATCATCTAACAAGATACATCGCATGTGGAAAAACCAAAATTAGTGAAATAACAATAAGTAACAGTAAAGAAAAGAAAGACGTGGAGTTTACTATTGATGATAATATAAAAAAAATGAAAGAAAAAATCAAAGAAAAATTGATTGATAAAGATAACACCATAATATTATTCGATGAAGCACATTTTCCAGTCACATCTTATCAAGTAATACAACCTTTGCTCATCAGGATGGGTTATAAACTTTTAGTAATGAGTGCTACCTTTCCGAAAAAAAAATTTTCCATATCAACATCAAAACCTAGAGAAGTTTATTCAATAACCGAATTCAAAGATCAGACAGATTGGGCTAATGAAAAAACACAAATATTTTTCAAGACAACTACAGACGAATATAAACTTAAACCATCAGGCGAAGAAGATCTGAGTGCTATAACATTAAAATCTGGATTAGATCCAAAAAAATTTAAAATGTTGGAAGATAGTGATATCCTATTTGTGATATTTGATGCTACGAATTCTTCTGCTGTAACGGGTATAATCGAAGGAATGCCACCCGGTTCTTTGTTTATCGCGAATGTAAATCATGAAATGGGTTTCTCTCCTGATATCGATAATGTGATATTAACTGGTGAAACACAATTAAAAAAATTAGGAACTGATGCTCAAAGATGGATTTATGATACTCCTGATATTAATTTTTTATCCGTCGCTAGTATGGTTCAACAAATAGGTCGTGTTGGTCGTCTCAAACCTGGAAAAGCTTATTTAACAACACAACAACTTGAAGAATTAACTCCCTCTCAAGACATTGTTTATCATATAATCAACGCAATAATAGCACCAGCTAAAGAACTACCAATGAAATATTTAAATGATAAAGGTTATAAATTTACCGGTGGTCAAGGAGATGATGATTATCAAAATCTATTATGGTCTTCCATCGCTTTCACAACCAAACAAAATCGTCCTGTAGAAGCAGTGATGGTAGGTATGGTAGGTAAACCGAAAGGATCAAAATCATCAAGAAAAATATGTCCTACTTTTGATAATGATCCAAAACCAGACTTGGTAGATAAAAGTCTTTGGCATTATCATGTTGATGGTAGTCTACCACCTCCCGAATTAGATTTAGAAAATATAAAAAATATACAAATATTAATCATTAAAACAAAATTAAGAGCTGTTGATCTGAACACTAATCCAATTGTCAATATCGAATCTAAAAATTCATTAATAGAAAAAGTATGGAAGCTACCCTCTAAAAAAACTGATTCAATACCTGATAATATAAAAAATAATGTTGTTGAAGAAATCAGAGGAATCGTAAAAAGTGTATTACTGGAAAAAATAGATATTAAAAAAACAAAATATAAACCTAGTGAAATCAATGATTTTAATAATTCTATTAAATGGTTGAAATTTTTCGATGAAGCAAAAATAGATGTTCTCAGGACGATAATAGATGGTGAAATGCAAAAAGATTATTCTATAACCATTACAAATAAAAAACCTGTTATCACTACTAAAAAAAGTATCCAAACAAAAGAATTCAGATATAATGGAAAATATTTAGATAACGATGGATTTCCGATCATGTTCAAGTAAATAAATAATTGATGATATTAATGATTTAACCTTTTTTTAAATCAATTTATCAAATTGTAGTTGTGATGAATGTGGTAGAATGATGAAGCAAGTTTTTGATGTAATGGATAAAAATCTTGATAAATCTAAATATTGTAAAATTTGCATATGTAAATTTCAAAATATGAATATAATCACTCATATACCCGGTATGGGATTTCGTAAAAAAAAATAAATTTACATTATGAGAATCATCTTTTATTTTTTCATATATTCATTACTTGTACAAAATACAAATCTAACCAAATATTATTCAACTATAATATTTCTTAATCCAATAAATAAAAATCAAAATATTGAAAAAAACAACAACATTAGAAAACTTAATATAATGCTTAATTCCTTATCTCACAATCTTAAACATTATAATAAAAATCGTTTAATAAATAATAAAATAATTATTAATAAAAATACAAATATCGTAAATAATAAAACTTATAATATAAAAAAAAAGTATATTGATAAAAAATATAAATTAATTATTTATTTAATCTTATTAACTGAAAATATCATGTTAAAAAAAATATTGATAAAAATAATTCATCTCTCTATAAAAAAAATATTTAAAAATTAAATATGGTCTCATGTATCTGTTTAGGACAATCAAGTTTTGATATTTCACCTTTTAATTGTATAAACGATAATATCATACATTACAATAAAATACCTGAAATACCATATATCAAAAATAACTTTAATTTAAACATTGAATCAAATATATATAATTTCGGATCAATCATGTGGAAAATCGCAAATGATAAAGCTAAAAAAGGAAAAAATAAAAACATTAAAAGAGATAACTATATGAATAAATTATATGGTTACACGTTAAATTCAGACCAAATGGTTAGCTTATTATTCAAAAATAAAATAAGTGATGATTTTAATAATAATAATAATTCATTATTTGAAACATTAAAATTTCAAATATTAAATGAAATGGATAAAAATAAACTTTTGGAATCAGGTCATTATGATAAGGTTATACAGGATAATCAAATTAATTTAGATTCAAAATATACAAAAATCCAAAATATACGTAAAAAAAGATTAGAATATTTAAATATCTATAATATCGTGATAAACACCATTAATACAGAATGTATAATAGAAATTTTTCAAATGAACAATTTTATAAACCTTCAAATAAACGATATTAATTATCCTAAAAATTTAATAATATTATTAGAAAAAAGAAAAAATGAAAGAATAACAGAATTAAAAATCATATTAAATAATATGATTGAATTAATAAATACGGAAAAAATATCAGATAATTTAAAAGAAAATGGAAAAATCTATAACGAAATCGAAAATGAAAATTGTTTAAGTAGAGAAAATAAAAAAAAATTACAAGAAATAAGAAATATAAGAAACAAACATGTTTTAGAATACGAAAATATTTATAAAGATATTAAAAAAATTCTCGATATTTATAATTATGATAATTTTGATAGAAAAAGAATAAAATCTTACCTTCCTAATGACTTAAAAAAAGAATTATTCGATTTATTAGATGATAAAAAAAATTTTCTGGAAATTTACAAAGAATTGACAAATATAAAAAATTAGAATAATGAATTATTGGAAAAATTAGAAAATCATTACAGAATAACCATAAATCAATTTTCATCAGAAAAAGAAAAAAATATATTGGAAAAATTAAGAAATGATGAAATCAAACAAACTTTAAAATTTTTAGAATATGAAAAAAAAATAAATGATGAAATAATAGAGAATCTAGTAAAAATTGATCGAAACTCAATAACTCACAATATTAGAAATGATAATAATATCAATCAAAAACAAAAAAATATTTTGAATAATATCATACTTGATAAAATTAACAAACACATGGATGAATTATACGATAAATTATTAATATTAATCAATGAGAAAAGACTTTTCTCTACAATTCAAAAAAACATTGTACATTTAATACTTCATCAATTAAAACAAGAATATTTAACAAACCGTGATCTTTTATCAATATTCAAAAAATTCATGGATAGTGAATTAGAAAATGCAATCAATGATTACATCCTGAAATCCAATAATTTTTACACGGAAAATAATAAAAAATTGGAAGAGAGAAAAGATTGGAAAAAATTAATCGTTACGAATCGTTACATCATATCAAATTATGAAAGTTACAGAAATTATCTCAATTATAAATTAAATGATAAAATATCTTTGAATTATGAAGATAAATTTTCTAACAATAAAAGATTAATCAACATCAAGAAAAAAATAGAAGCAAAATTTACCGAATATAACGAAAATTATTACGATTATCTTTTGGAAGAAATGAAAAATAATAAAAACGCTATTGAAAAATTTCAAAACAACAATTATTTTGATAAAGAAATAAAATTACTAAATGATAATTTCTTAATAAAAGAAGGTTATAAAATTCTTGTGTTGGAAAATTTTAGAAAAGAAATTTTATCTAAACATGGATTCTGAAAAGGAAAATAATATCGAAAGTGAAAGTGAAGACGGGAGTGTAGATACAAGTGATTTTTTAACACCTGAACGTATAAAACAAATTCGATTATGGTTAAGTACATCCAAAAATTATAAATCATCTGGAGTCTTTAATCGTATACATAATGATTTTACACAATTAATAAATGAAAAATTGTATAAAGACCAAAAATATGAAAATATAGAAGAAAATCTAGATGTTTTAACACAACAAAACAATGAATATATAGAAATATACAGAGATTCATCAGTGATCTGTGAGAGAATCTTGAAAAATCTAGAAATTGAAGAAGAAAGTGAAAGTTTAATTGAAATTTTAGAAATGATTGAAAATTATAGTATAAATAATAGATTCCCTAATGAAATTAATAATAGAGTCTCTAATAGAACTTCTAGTAAAAAATTTAATAAAAAAAAATGGTGAGAAGAAGACAGTTGAATAACAAACAACAATTTGATATATGGAAAAAACGAATTAAACTAGATATAGATCATGATATAAAAAATGACTTGCATAATTTATTGGAATTCAGTCGTAAAAATTTTTTTATCAAAAACACTAAGATAATCAAAGACGAAGAAGAAATGTATAATTCGATAAAAATAATCTCTGATATTTACATACAAGAAAGTGAAAAAACTCGTATAGAAAGAAATAAAAAGAAAATGGAAAAAATAAAAATGGAATTATTTTTCGATAATGAAATGAAAAAATTAGCAAATATAATCAAAAAGAAAATAGTATAAAAATATATAAACAATCTTTTATTTTTCTTTAAAATCATGAAATTTATATATATCTTATCACTGTTATTACTTTTATCTATATTAATAAATAACTCATTTTGCGCTTATGGTTGTTGTGGTTTACAAGGACATAATATCGCTTCTTGTAAAAAAAGACCTTGTCCAAATCATCAATCTAATCAAAAAGTTCGTCATTGTGGAATCTGTGGAAGAACAGGTCATGACAGAAGATCATGTCTAAAAATAAATCATCATGGAAATTTTTTTTAATAATAATATTGTTATTATCAAACTTGATAATGATATCAGAATCTCAGAAAAAAGTTAGAAGATGTACTATATGTAGAAATACTGGTCACAGAAGAGATAAATGTCCTGAAAGATTTTTTTTGCCTTTTGGAGAAAATCGAGAAAATATCAATCCTTTCAGTAACGCTATAGTACCTTGGGTTCCGAACATGGAAAGAAGCATGGTATTATTCGATAAAAATAAAAATAATAAAATAATGGAAAATTGGAAACCTCAATGGATAACTCATAGAGTCATTAGAATTTGCCCCCCTGGTGGAAAACTTTGTAGTCATTGTGGTGGGATGGGTCATACACATAGACCAAAAGCAAAAACACCTAAATTATGTGATATCGCTAATGTACGTAATCTAAACAACATAAAAAAATCAGTAAGAGAATATTTTAAAGATCCAAAACCATATATAAGATTATGTAAATGTTGTAGTCAAGTAGATCATTCCAAAAAAAATTGTCCAATATTTAAAGCTGCTATAAATGATGGTAATGCTAATGCTAATACTGATCCTAGAAATGTCGGTACGTGTCTTGCACAAGGACATTTTGATAAAGTCAAAGAAGGTTTGGATAAATTTAGAGGAAGACATGGTTTAGAAAGAAAATTAGTTCCTATATCTGTGTTACAAAATCAAAATCTCTTGACTTTTTAAAAAAAGATACATATATAAAATAAATTATTTAAACAAATTTTATTTTTTTTTTCTTTCAATAAAATAAAAAAAAATGTTTAAAAAACTTTTTCTAATATTCTTGTTATTGTTAAACTTTTCAATAATTGAAACATATGGTAATGCTCTTATACCTTGGCAAAATAATGCTCTCACACTTTGGAAAAACATGATATTTAATAATCATAAAAACAACAAAATGATAAATAATTGGAAAATTCCA